ACCTACCTACCTACCTACCTACCTACCTACCTGCTGGTGCTCTTACAGTGCCCTCAGTCCTACAGCATCTGAGATGAGCGGGTGGTTTTTCTTCCCCTCCCTCTGAGCATCCTGTCTACAATGCTCCAAGCACTCTGCTCTCCCAAGACCATTGCCTCCTCTGGATGCGTTGCTGGGTAATGTATTTTGCACAGGGGAAGCTTAGATCAGGCACAGCTTGTAGTGTGCAGTGAAATTCCGGCTTTACATCTGGTCTGACTGAGGTCCAGGGAACATCGCTGGAGTGATGCCAGACTCACCAAGGCTAAGAGGGTGCTCCCTGTGATGAGAAGCCTTGGGTAGATCCAGGAGGAATCCTGGTATCTCTCATGTTTTGCGGTCAGGCTAAACTCATTCTGACAGCTGAATCTTAACACTGGCTAGGCGGTCAGAGGGCTCGCAGTGCTTTGCTGTGATGGCTTCACACACTAGTTTCTTGTTCTTATTCTAAGTCTCCGTCAATTTAATTTTTAAAAATAAAATCTTTCCATCGGGCAGCACCCAGCCCACGCCTTAATCCTACGATGCTTGATTCCCTGTTCCCACCAGCAAGTAAATTACACAGTGGGTGTGGACAGGAGGAAAGAGAACCTGAGCTTGGATTGCAGAGGAGGGCTGGCACTAGCTTGTTATTTACATGCTTTGGGGCTGCTTGTTGAAATTAACTGAGAGCAAGTTGCAAATTTCTCGCGGATTACTCCTGGCAGCAATTACGGCAGCTGTGAAATGAGTCGTGCTAATGTCAGGCAGCGAACTCAGCAGGGAGTTATAATTGGTGTGGCGTTTGCTGAAGCATACTGTCCAATGAGTCCTCTTCCTTCCCAACATTCCATATTGTCTGTTTCCCCCCACAAAGAGTAACAAAGCCGCAGAGGACATGAAAAAACAGGAATGTTTTAACAGCAGTAATTTACTGGTGCCTGCAATTGCCTTCCAAATTCAGCCATTGGTTTTGGAATTAAGTTGCTTCTTCTGTTAGTTTAATTGCTTTAATGAGAAAGGAATGGAGAAACTCCCAGGCAGAGTTCTACCTACACACACGGGGGCTGACTCTCCTCTCACTTACAGCAGAATAGTTCAGGCGTCACTCTGTCAAAGACTACAGGGCAGCGTTGATATAAAACCAGCATCCGAGAGAGTAAAGTGCTTTGAAATCTAGGAAATACAAGTGACTCGCACTAGAGAAATGCGGTGAATGATTTTTATTTCAATCGGTTTTTATTTCCTTTCTGTTTAGAAACAATAAGAAGACCTCGCAGGCTCTGTATGCTCCGCCAGGGATTTAAAATGACCAACTCCAATGCATGTTTCGATCGGGTCAACCCTTCTACCACACGGCAGCTCTTCATACAAATCCCAGCATGCCCATACATTTGCCACTGCTATGTCGCCTCAAAGATAAGGCCAAACAAACAGGCCTTGTAGTGCACTGGGAAAGCTGGCGTTCCTTTCCCGGCTGTTTTGGTTGGGGGCGGGAGGCAGGGCATTTGAGGTCCCTGGGGTGTTTACAGAACATCCTCTGTTGGACAGCTCTTCCTTGTTACACAGAAGGGGATCTAGAATCAGCGCTGTGACGGCAACTCTGGCAGTGTATCACAGGGAGAGAGACTTTCTCTAACGGAGGGCTACTAGTGTAAAGTCATAAGCACAAATACCAGGCAATTCAGTTCTGTCAGGGTTCCTTAGTTCTCTGGGTCCGGATGTGTGTACAGATAACTTAGATGTGGTGCATGTATTTACGTATATAAGCACCAGGACACTCCAGCAGCTGTTCTGCCAGCTAGAATGGTGCTATAGAAACCTTGCAGGGGCAATGGTGATAGCGCTTGTCCCGACGCATTTAAGTTTCACATAATGCCCTTGTGGTGGAGGCAGAGTCTCTGAGTAATTTGCTTTCTTGGCCCATCAAAGCTGTTTCTGATTCTCCCTGACTCCAGCCAAACCGATCTTGAGAGGGCCAAAACTAACAATAAACACGTCGCATTGAGTTTATTTTAGCTTAAATCAGATAATCCGCTGTGAGTCTGACTTGAGACCACTTCCTTGTACCGGGAGACGCTGTGCTTTGCTCGCGTTTTGCCCGCGATTTTCCTCTCTGATCCAAACTCAGAAGAAAATGAAGCTAAATATAGATTCCGTAAGAACTCAGCAAGGCTGTGCAGCGCTGCTGGCACAAGAGAATCAGTCCTGTCTTATCAAAGCCTAGAGTGGTAGGAAACCTCTGGAGGCCCTGTGTTATTGTCTCCTCTGTGTCTGCATCACAAAACCCACACACACAGCTTGGCACTGCAGAGACCCAGGACTGCCGTAGCGGGGGTAAGGCTGGTCAGGAGACTTGGGAGAACTAGGGAGTCCCAGGACTGGAACAGTAGGGGGCGCTACAAGTTCAAGACGTTAGTCCTTGGCAGAGCCAAGGGGCCCCAAGGACTGGAAGAGGGGGTGGCAGTAGGTAAGGACTGAGATGCATTGGCAAAGCTGGTGTTGGAAGGCGGGATACAGTACTAGAATAGCAGGCGTTTTGAGAGTCCAGACCAAGGTGCATTAACAGAGCTGCATGGGGGAAACTTGCACAGAGCTCAGCCGCCCTAAACCTAAACCTGACTGGTTTTGTTAAATCCTCCCCTTTCCTGGGCGTTAAAGCCACACCGAGGGAGAGCCCTGCCCAGGATAGGATAAGTTTCTAGGGAAGGAGAGGCCTGGCAAACCCTTCCCAACCTTCACACTCATCTGCTCCTCGCTCACACACTCTTTTTCTCCCTGCAGTGGGTAGAGATAACAATGGTTCAGATTGCTGAGGGGGTTGTTCAACAGTTCAAGGTTTGCTGTTCTTTTTCCCCCCCCCACCCCGATAGCCTTTGGCCAAAGGAGCTTTCCTCCGGGGATCAGGCTTGAACCTGGTGACTGGGCGCTTCACTGCAACTGTGTCTGGCATCTACCAGTTTTCAGCCAACGTCCACATCGGTGAGTGTTGTCCACTGGAGCCTATTCCAGGTTAGCATGGTGAGGGACTCTGGAACTCCAATGACTGCCTTATGGAGGCTATTCCATCGGAAACATGTGTAACAACCACCCATTGGTATGAGGTCAGTATCATACAGGCCTCTACCACTTGACCTAGCAGAGTAACTCCATTAAGTGGCAGCAGCAGTAGGTTGTTATCCTCTAGCGCAGGGGTGGGCAAACATCAGGGTTCTGAAACTATATGGAGGGCCGGGTAGGGAAGGCTGTGCCTCCCAAAACAGCCTGGCCCCCGCCCCTATCCGTCCCCTCCCACTTCCTGCCCCCTGACTGCCCCCCTCAGAACCCCCAACCCATCCAACTCCCCCTGCTCCTTGTCCCCTGACTGCCCCCCTCAGAACCCCCAACCCATCCAACTCCCCCTG